TTCTTTGTGAACCACACGTGTCACGAGAGTTTCTCTGTCGAACGGGGCAAACCTTACAAGCACTGCACATCATTGTAAGAATCCTGTATAGAAGTTTCTCTACATAGCTTTTAGAGACATTGTGGGAGAATAAAAGTTGGAATAAAAAGATCCTAGCACATTTTATTCAGTGTTTCAAAAATGTTTTTATAATCCATGTATTTTTTTAAAAAATGCCAATTCTTCCAAAAAACCCCCCCAAAACACAACCACAAACTGACGCAGGAAAAAAATTGTGATTTTTTTTTTTTACCTCAATTTTCAATTTCCCCCAGATGGGCATATCTCTAAATTAGAATGCATGCAGGTAATCTTTCTTGTCAATTTTTCTGATTCACTCTAGTAAGTACACATTAGTCATCGTTCCACATGCAAACATTTACTGAGGTAACTAACCATAAAAGTGAAACAAAATGCATTAAAGTTCTTCTAAAGCTGAACCACTAAATCTCTTTGATCTGGGCTACTTTAATATATAAAACCATCAGGAATATACTTATTGTCATGAGTTGTGACACAGAAGCAAAAATAACCCAAGGAAAGCTGTATAGAATTCATTATAATTTTCATTTTCCATTTTAAACATCAGAGCAGGAATGACCCCAACTCTACCTACAATGAAGAGAACCTGGCTCAGTGTGTTGTTGATTTTTTTGTTGCTGGAACAGACACAACTTTTGGTACCCTGATGTGGGCACTGCTCCTCTTGGCAAATCATTCCCACATCCAAGGTGAGAGAAATCTGGGCAGTGGGAACAAGGGTCACTCTCTCATGCTCTAAAACACATGGGAATTATTTGAAATTCTTTGAAATATTAATGGCTATTGAATGGTAAATTAAATCTATTCTTCATAATAATTTTCATATGTGGATTCTTGAACCTATAATCAGGAACGGCAGAATTAAAGGAAAGCAAAGAATGTACATTCTTTGATATCCTCAATAAAATCTTGAGCGATGAACTAAAAATTGAAAATTTTTTTTAACACACTTTAAATGCAGAAATCTACCAATCTTTTCAGATCTGGTATTTGTTTTCAGCCTAAATTATATGTAAAGATCAAATTAGAGATAATGAACCTACGAGGACTGTGCAGAAATTTGATCCAGTTTATTTGCAAGAGAATGATTGATTTTTTAAAATTGAATCAGATTTCCAAAATGGTTGGGATTGAATTCTGGAGACTGACTTTTCTAAAGGAAATTCAGTGGAATCTTTGAACTAAATCAACAATTTGCATCAATATTCTGAATCAGTTTGGACTGGATCAAATCAGAGCCTATGAAACGCATTTAATATCTGCAGTCCATTAAAAACAAAATCAGGATGACATTACATTTACTGCTCTGAAGGTATTTTACACTTTAAAGTACTACTGAGGATTAAAACTGGGAATTGAAGTGAAACACAATATTGAAAACAAAGCTTCAATTTCCATCATTTTTTTTCTAGAGAAAGTCCAGAAGGAGATTGAAGATGTGTTTGGCTTCTCAGGATCAATTTCCTATCAAGATCACAAGAAGC